CCCATGCACCAAGGACAGGTCCTGACTCCACTGCCTGGGGGCCTCCCAAACAGTTCAAGCTAATCAACTGTCTCACTTATCCAGAGGGCCTGGTCCATCCAGTTCCATGAGGGTTCCTCTGCCATTGATTCACACCTGCTTGAATTCTTATCATGACGTTCTCAGCGATGGACTGTGATATGGAAGTGTAAGATGAAATGAACTCTTTTCCTGCCAACGTTGTCTTTAGTAATGGTGTTTTATCACAACAATAGAAACACTGAGACAAGATGGTTCATTTTTATGGAAGCTGCATTAAGCTCTAAATATATAAGTGGAATTGCATGGTGTACTTTTTATATGACCTGATTTATCAATGCTCAGTGAATTATGTTCAAGCAAGGGCTAAGAAATGAGAAGAAAGTTCAGGATATAAAGTAAAAAGAAATAGGTTCTTAAGTAACAAAGATGTGTATGTTCCAAATTTAACAGGGCTTAATATTTTTTTTCCAAAAGGAAAACTCTTCTCATCATTGTCTGTCCATCTCAGTCTCCCAGTTTTTGTCAACTATGTCTAGAACCTTTAGAGATCACACACTTTGAAATAATGCAAAGGACTAAAGAATGTGAGTAAAATTCCTGAAGATAACTTACCTCCATTGTGATTTGGTTTACCATAATAAAGAGTATGATACTATATGATTGTGGAATCAACTCTTTTGGTAAGGGTCACATGAAGGGTAGTACTTGTGAAATTTATCACACATTATTTCCTTTGAAGTTACATATTGAGGATGGAGACTTAAGGAAATCCATACAGAATATTTTTAAGGAAAATTCCATGTTGTGATAAGCCCTGCCTAACAGCTATAAGAGAATACACACATTATGAATTACTTGTTTATCTAAGATTATCTGTTGCTATTCGTTTCTGGGTACAATATATCTGTATGTAGAGATACTTTACAGGCACAGACTAGTGTCTTTAATAAATTTAATAAATTTTGTTATTTTTTTCAGGCCATTGCTTGACCCTGTGTTATAAACAGAATTTCTCCAGAAAAAGAAACTTCAAAGTTTTGGACTATTCTGTCGTTACTGACTTTGAAATAAATGAACTTGTTCATAGCTAATTGTTACTTATATTGAAGTTCTACATTCCTGCCAAGAGAGAACTTTTGCAAAAATGGCAACAACTAGAAAAATGTAAAAATTGATTCTCATTATGAAAAATTAAAAACCAAGAAGACCAAGAATGTAATATTTTCATGGATTAGTTGAGAAAAGAACACCTTTTGTTTCAAGAGAATGGTGAACTGATTTGGACAGATAAATGAGTAGGAGGGTAAGACTATGATATTTGTTAAATTAAGGAGAAGGAAATCTTTCTGCATGTTATTAATGAATTATAATAAAAAGAAAGTAAGATATTGTTTAAACTCTGGTGTGGGTAAATGATATAAATAAGAATTTCAAAAATGGCAGATGAGATGAACCAGGGCTTTATAATTAGATATCCATTTTTTCCAGCTATTTCCAAAAATTTCTGCTTATATATGCTAAACTAAATAGTACAAAGAGTTTGCAAAACAAACAATCAAAAGCATCTTCATGGTAAACAAAAAGAAGACTAGATCTGAATTGTATGTCCCATGGATCTATGGTAGGTTATAAATAATGTTCATCTCTATCCATAAAAGGGTAAAACCCTGTAAACATTTCTTACACTCCTACCACACATCTGAAGCAGTAAGAGATATATGCAACACTTACTTGAAATTAAGTTCCCTGAATTGAGGGGACTTGTTTCTTTTCCTGGAAGAAGAAATGGAGAATTCATTTAAAAAAATAGAATTTAAAACTTGCAAAATGACATTGAAAGTTACCTCTATGACTGTACTGGCTGTCTCACTTTCTAGTTGTATCTGTTTGTATAAGTAATAACTAAAAACAATAAAGAAATCTAATTTTGACATGATAAGAATTTGGGCTACTTGGTGTCGGAAAATAGAATTAAGAGTATACTAAGTAAAAAGAAGCATAGGATGTATAAATAAAGATACCTAGGTTCAGAAATATAAATTTTATAGCATTTAAAATCAGTAAGAGTGCAACACATGCCCTGGGGAACTGTGCGCTGTGGATAATTTTACAGCCAATTCTACAAAACACAGAAGGGGGCCACATTCCAAAGATCTTCTTGGAAATTGTACTAAGTTTAGAGCAGAACTGATCATAAGATTTGGAATCTCAGTCCCAGAATGTAGTTCTTATCTACAAATAAGCATGTGTTCCCCATGCATAAACATACTCCCATAGATTTAAAGTTAACATTATCAATATGAATTGATATGTTATAAAAGTGACAGGGCAAGAGAAACAGTTTGGCAGAGCTGCTATGGGTACAGCCTCTGAAGTCTGATTGCTGGATTCAAACCATTTTAACAACTTCTGTGCACTATTAGTCAAAGGTTCATAACAGAACCAACAAGAAAGTCTTCCTCATAGGACTACTGTGACAATAAAAAAGCCAACTTATTGCCATCACCATGAGGGTAAGCAGCTTGCAACAGTGCCTGGAGAGCAGTCATTCCCTCTTTCACGTGTTACAGACATTGTTATTATTACTTTAACTAGTTGGAGACATAATAGAATGTGCTTATACTTGCAGTACAAGATATAACTCAAAGATCAGAGTTTCATGTTCACATCAGATGTCACAGAGATGCTTCATATTCATTTACTTTTCTCTTCAAATTTATATCAGCTATTATTTCACTTCTGTGAAGAGACACCATGACTAAGGCATCTCCCTCTCTCTTTCTTTTTATTTTTTTATTGAAAATAGATTTTTTCCATATAATACATACCAATTATGGTTTTCCCTCACCCTACTCCTCCAAGTTCCTCCTCATATCCTCTCCCATCTAGAACCTCACCCTTTCTGTCTCTTGTTAGACAGCAAATAGGCATCTAACTAATAATAATAAAATAAAATAAAATAAAATAAGATAAACCAGAATATATTAAAATAACCAAACAAGAAAAAGAGCCAAAGAATAAGCTCAAGAAATGCACATAGATACAGTTATATACACTTTCACACACACAGGAATCCCATGCTAACTGAAAACCATAAACCATAATATATATGCAAAGTACCTATATGATTATATTTAAAAAAATTTAAAAAAATTAAAAATTAACAAGTCCCCAATTTAACATTATAAGACAAAGAAGCTCCAAAGATTCAATTGAGTTCATTTCATGTTGGCTATCTACTGCTGGGTATGGGGCCTATCCTTAAGAGTTTATGTTTTCCCAGTGAAACTTGCTTAAAGAAAAGTCATTTTCCATTTGCAAATGACTATCAATTATAGACTGATTTCAGGTTAGAAATGAGTATACATGTCCACTTCTCGTTTTCCCTCTAGTACCACATCTTCTGCAGACCTGTGCAGCTTGCCACACTCTCTATGAGTTCATATGTGTATAGGTTGTGCTGTGTTTAGAGAGCCTTGCTTCCTTGGTGTCCTCCATCCCCTCTGACTCTTACATTCTTTCCTCCCCTTCTTTTGTAGGGTTCCCTGAGTCTTAGATAGAGGGATTTGTTGGAGACCTCCATTTTAGGGCTGAGTGTTTCAAGGATTCTCACTCTGTCTGTATTTCTAGCTGTGGGTCTCTGTATTTGGTTCTACCTGGTGCAGGATGAAATATCTCTGCTGAGGGCTGAGCAAGGCATAGATCTATAAGTATAGCAGAAAGTCATTAGGGGCCATTATATCACAATATTTCTTTAGCAGAACAGTAGTGTTAGGTTTTAATTTAAGTCCCTGGCCTGTCTAGTCTCAGGTTCTTATCCACCAGTGTTAGGTATGTGTTCCATCTCTTGGAGTAGGTCTTTAATCTGATATTTGTTGATTACTCCCATAAGCCTTGTGCTACTATTGCAATGCAATTCTTAAAAGAAAGCATTTAATTGAGGACTTGTTTACAGTTTCAGATGGTTAGTCCATGATTATCATGATGGGGAGCATGGTGCCAGAAATGTGACCATGGTCTTGGGATAGTAGCTGGGCTTATATCTTATTTACAAGCTGCAAGCAGAGAGCATGTGAGACAATGTGTCACTTGGGCTTTGGAAACCTCAAAGCTGACTCTCAGTGACACACCTCCTCGAACAAGGCCAGACATCTTGCTCCTTCCTATATAGTCGACCAACTGGGAACAAAACATTCAAATATATCAGCCTATGTTGACTATTCTCATTTAAACCACCACACCATTTCATACATTTTATATGAAAGTAACTATGTATAGCCCACACTGATTTTTCAATCCAAAATTTTGCCTGTGAACGTACTTTTTAAGTAACTCTAGATAATCATGAACAAGAGAGGGAGGGGGGAAGAAGAGAAGAAGGAGGAAGGGAGAGAGAGAAGGAAATGAGAAAAAGTAGAGTATAACTTGTATGCTTTAGTTGTTTTTTATTTTCTATCTCAGTGGTTCTGAACCTCTGGGTCGTGACCCCAACCCTATCATTGGGGTAACCTAAAACCATGGGGAAAACACAGATATTTACATTACAATTCATAATAGTAGCAAAATTATAGTTATGAAGTAGCATCAAAAATAATTTTATAGTTGGGGGATCACCACAGGAGGAGCAAATGTATTAAGGGCCATAGCATTAGGAAGGTTGAGAACCACTAATATATATTTTGTATATAACATAAATTTGGAGAACTCATAGATAATATATGTATATTATATTAATAGGCCACAGAACCTTTCTCATATTTTTGAGGAATAAAGTGAAATAATTGATTGTGTTTGCCACAATAATTTTTAACACTAAAATATATATGAAATAAAACTTACAAAACTTCATGACTATTGAACTTAAATGAAACATATTGATCATCCACATCAAAGACAGGGTGAATTCACTAGATACTTTAAAGAAAATGTAAACATCTTATATTTAGAACTTTTTAAGTTTTTAAAAAAAAGTTTGTAATTTAATCATACAGAAAAGATAAAAAATAAATGTTTTATTGGAGCACCATACAATGGTGTTTGGAACATGTACACAGTACCTAGTGTTTAAATCAGGTTGCTATAGGGTAGTTTTGGAAAGATATGTACACAGTACCTAGTGTTTAAATCAGGTTGCTATAGGGTAGTTTTGGAAAGATTAGTCCTTTCTAGTGTGAGCTGCCCTAAGTTACAGCACATTCAACCTTCACCAAACACCAACCTAAGACAGTGCTTCTGAATGTATTGTCTCACTTCAGTGAGAATTAAAGATGGAGAGTTACCTGAGAGTATGTAAAGTGGAATCAGCCTTCATTAGGGAAAAATGAAAAGCAGTGGATAATTGGGTAAAAGGGAGTAAGTGAATAAAAAAGAGAGAGAGAGATGAGAGAGAGAGAGAGAGAGAGAGAGAGAGAGAGAGAGAGAGAGAGAGAGAGAGAGAGAGAGCAGAGAATGAGAATGAGAATGGTTACCAAGACAGAAAAAGTCTACTGAAGTCCATTGTCTAGGTTTTGTGTTCATTTGTTTTTATGGCCCTGACAGAAACTGGACACAGACTGGTATAAAGTGAGCCTAGCTAATTATCTGGGTTACTAAGTGCTGAGGCAATAGAGGGCCCAGATTCTATTTATGTCCTGCTGGCCTAGTCAGGGAGGTGATCATGCACTTTGCTACTCCCCTTGTTAGGGGTGGTGGGAGCCCCTGCTGTCCACCTCTGATGGCTGTACTCTTAGCTATTGATCTTGTCAGCATCCCCACTGCCCTCCTGGGCAGGTGTCTCCCATGCACTTAATTGTACTAAGCTCTCTTTGTTCCCACATTTATATGATCAGCCAATAGGCTTACCACGCCAGAGTAACTCAAACACAACCACCAAAATGTCTCTGTAGTCATTCCTGATCACCTCATGTCCTGGGTAGTTTTTTGTCAACTTGACACATTGGACTTAAATGGGAAAAATAGCTTCAACTGAGAAAATGCATCCATATAAACTGGCCTGTAGACAAGTCTGTATGTTACTTGCTTGGTTAATGATTGTGGTAATACATTGTGTACCCTAATAAAATTTGCCTGAAGATTAGAGAACAGAACAAGCCACTAGATTAAACTAGAGGCCAGGCAGTTGCAGGCCACACCTTAAATCCTAGTATTTGGGAAGCACTTGCCTTTAATCGCAGCACTAGGAAGGAAGGAATAAGCTGGACAGAGAAAGGTGTATAATGCATGAGGAGACAGGAACTAAAGCCCTTTTCAGCTCAAGTCCCTTTTTGGTTAGACCCCTTCAGCTGAGGACTCGGAGACATTCAATGAGAGGATTCGTGGAGTTGGCGAGGTGAGAAGTGACAGTGGCTTGTTCCTTTGTCTCTCCGATCTTTCAGCATTTACCCCAATATCTGACTCCAGGTTTTTTTTTTATTATAAAACTATTTAGGAATTTGTGCAACAAATGATTGATGGGGGGAGGGCGTTCAGCTCACTGAGGGTGGTGCCTGTCCTGGGCAAGTAGTTGTGGATGGAATAAGAAAGGAGAGAGAGTAAGGAGCAACTGAATAAGCACTGTACCTTCATGAACTCTGCTTCACTTATTGCCTTTAGGTTCTCTCTTGAGTTACTCCAAATTTCCTCAGTGATGGAGTGTATGTAACCTGAGAGTTATAAAATGAAATAAACCCTTTCTTCTGTAAACTGCTTTTTGTGTTTTGTCACAGTATGTATTGGCGCCAGTTTAATTGGTTATTGCTGTCACAGATGTGACCATGTGTTTTGGGTAGGATTTT